ATATTTATTTTTTTATTTTTTTTACCCATTGCATTCGTTATGACACTCACTGTTATTTTTCACGTCTTATTACAAGATATGAGAGCAGCTCCCAGCCCTCCAGTAGAGAAAAGCTTCCCCATCACCCAGATGGCAGACCGCTGGACATGGCTCTAGAAATACATAAGCGTTCACAGAGCTTTCTCCCTAGAGGAAAAGAAAAACACCATTCATATTTCTGCTCTTTTTATACTCTGGGAGGATTGTGTGGAAGCAGTGGCTCGGCTTTATGATGGAAATCAAAATACAGTCAGCCAGTCTATAAAAATACTGGAGATGTTAAATGACAGAGTGGAAACTGTATTTGCTTTTCTAATACAATAAATGCAGATTTAAAATGGATCTGGGTGATTTTATTATATATTCCTCTAAGATGTTAGGAATACATTAGACTGTCAAATTATTAAGTAAGGTGCACAGTTGTGAATGTGTGTATATTTATAGAAGAAAAAAGAGAGAGAGAGAAAGAAAGAAAGAAATAAAGAAAAAAATATTTATTTTTATATATTTGTCTATTTTTTAATTCTAGATTGCACACATATGAAATCCTGACTTTAGGCTCATTTCAAGAAGCTTTGCACAATAATATTTGTTTCCAGCCATGTGACTGTAATTTTTAAATCTCATTGGTCTCTCTCTGTTAGAAATAATTGTCCGTTTAGCTTAGCTTTGGTAGTTTTGTGAATTGAGCCTTGTTTATGTAAACAGTTTTCAAGAAATTGTAACATATTCAGCATTTTATCAGAGAAGGGAAAGATATAAAAAAAATTCATAAGGACTGTCAGATAGATGCATAAACGCACATATTATATATAGATAGTTTTGTTTGATTTCTATGTATATAGACACACACACACACACCAGCTAATATGTTATATGTTTTAGTTCCGATGTGTCTCTCATCTAGAAAGATACTTGTGATTAAAACCCACACAGGCAATAATGTAACACAATTTGCAATACATTGAAGCCGGGAAGAAAAAACAAAACAAAACACTTTTCACTTGTGGGCATTTGTACAGAAAATAATAAACAATGCCATTTACCTTGTTGTGCCACCGTTGGTAAAATAACGACCAGCGAAGATTCCTGTTGGCTGGGTATTGAAGTCAGCTCACCAGATCCGCTATTCCAGGAATCTGAAGAAAATAATACAAAAATATACTTGTTTCAGTATTTAGGAAGAACAGTAAAGAGGAGCAGGAGAATCTTCAGCAATGCAGAAATAAAGTTCTTGAGAGGTGACCAGACTATTTCCACCAGGAAAAGTAAAAAACAGGAAAGAAAAGTTTGTAAGAGATAAGTGGAAATAAAAAGGACAGTTGTGGCACTAAGTGACACATAAAGTGCATTTACCTTAGAAGAATTACTCTTCTATGCTAAAAAAAATATAAAGGCAAAAAAATGGAAATGATGGATCCTCTGATGAATTATGCAACAAAGAAAGAAATAACTAAAAGCATACTTAATTATCGGGTGAAAGAAAGGGTGAGAGCTATAAGGTGCTGAGAGTTCCCTCTGGAACACTCAGCACAGTGCACGATACTCTTGTCCCTGTTTGTTTCCAGATGTATATCTTTGTTCACACTTTCTGCATCATCCTTGTTCATCTGGTGCATCAGTACCATAAACCATTAGCTCCGGCTTTCCTTTCATCTTTAAGGTGGCGGACGTTGCTATTTATCCAGCAGCAATCAATGAGTGGCGTCAGCAGTGGTACTGTAATGACGATTGCACCATTAAGGATGACAGCTTAGAAAGAAGAGGGCAATGGTGATCCCTCCCAGAGCCAGTATAGCACAGAAGAGTGCAAGCAGCACAGGGTCAGCTGCATCTCTCTATTGCTCATCTGCCTGTCTCTGCTGCCAGCACTAGTCCTCCCTGGCTGACTCAGAGAAACAATGGAAGCCAGAAAGGAGATGGTCATGTTCCTGGAGGGAGGTCAACTTGGCACTCTAGTTGGCAAGAGAATGTCTAATTTGTCGGGCACAGTAGGAAGCCCCATTCACGAGCCGCAGGAGAAAATGCTTCCTAGAAGTTGCCTGAGCCCTAGATCTGGCCCCTTGGAATCCAGGGAGAGAGCTGAGGAGGAAGTGGAAGTTGTATCAGGGACAAGAGCGGACAGCAGATCGCCAGCGCTGCGCTTCTCGTCGCCTCATGCGGACTCCCTATCTGGTAAAGGGCATCACAGCAGTTCCGACACCGAATCGGATTTCTATGAGGAGATCGAAGTCAGCTGCACCCCGGACTGCACTACGGCCAGCAGTGACTACCAGCACAGCAAAGGTACAGGGTCACTGCCACCCTTCATATTATCTATCTATCTATCTATCTATCTATCTATCTATCTATCTATCTATCTATCTATCTATCTTCTACCCATTCCTTCTTTACTTCAGTTATTGCTCATGCCTATACATATATACTATCTATCTATCTATCTATCTATCTATCTATCTATCTATCTATCTATCTATCTATCTATCTATCTATCTATCTATCTATCTGTCTGTCTTCTACCCAATCCTTCATTTCTTCAGTTATTGCTCATGCCTATACATATATAGTATCTATCTATCTATCTATCTATCTATCTATCTATCTATCTATCTATCTATCTATCTATCTATCTATCTATCTATCTATCTTATTCAGCCTATGGTGCACAACCTATGCAATATTCCCTGACTGTATAAACACACATACAAATGCTTATTTTATTTTCTGGACAGGATGTAGGCTTGAAAATATTTTTGACTCTTTTAAAATATTTTTGAGGAAATGGTTTAGAAACAATATGTAGGTTAGTTGTGCCCAGCTATGCATGCTGAATCTACAGTAAGTGATGGTTTACAGAGATGTTGAGGATGACCATACACTTACAGGACCATGCCACCAACCATCTTGCACAGCACAGCTTTACCTAATTTCATTTTTTTTTTTTAAATATTAGAATCAGTGTATATCAGGAAGATAGACACGTTTCAGTCCTGGGATCATGCTGGCCTCTGTAGGTCGTTTGACACCTTCGCCTGTGTCAGAGATCAAAGATTAGGATGAGGAAGCTTGTCTGGGCCGTTGTGTATAGGTAACCATAAAGACAATGCCATGGGGTTTGGAGTCTCCTGCCTAGGTACTGCTTTGCATGCCCCTCCTCGCAGACCCCAAGCAGCAACTGACTTTCACAAGAAGCTGGCGCCAGCTCACAAATTGTCTCTGAGATGTTAAAAGAAGGCTCAGGTGTCCGACACAAAAAGTCTAGGCTGCATTTGAAAGGACACAAGTCAAATGACCCTCCCATAGCCCAGACGTGACTTTGAGGAGCCCAGGTAGATTTCACACCTTGCTCACTCCGACCCTTCAATAAGCAGCCTACAAATGTCCTTTGTGTTCACCAACAACCATTCTAACGTCATTTTTTTAAATTTCTGACGGGCATTTTGAACTGATAGTAATGACTATGAAGACACATAGCTGTGCATTGTTCATCTGCTTTATATTTACAAGCTGGCCCGGTATAATGGACATGTATCTTCATTACAAGACATCTATTCGGGTTGTTGTTATCCATAATTTATTGCACAGCAGATAGATTGCTGAATTGCATGGCCGCCTGGACAGATTAGTGTGAAATTGGTACATGCACGCTAATTTAGGGGTTACGACCGATGAGGGATCTTACAGTTCCACATAGACCTGTCATTGCTGCTACACTGCTTGGGGAACCATCTCACATGCTGCACCCACAGCCAGATAACCTGATGGTCTATGAGAGCTATTTATGATGTGCATTCCGAAAGCCAATGTTTTTGTTGGACTGAATTATTTAAATGTACCAATATTTCAGTATGGGCCTTTTTAATGTGTACATTAAAGACTTATTTTAGTAGAATAATTAGTTTCCTAGCACATTTGTAAAAAAAAGTAGAACATCTTAGGGTTAGGGTTAGGGTTTTTTTCCGGTTTGAATGGTGGCTTTTGGTGCCCATGAAGGGTACAGAGGCGTTGCTGGTAAAAGTGTCACCAAGGTTTAGGCAGGTGATGAATGGAATTAATGCAATGTGTTCCCTCTGTGCAGGCCAGTGCTCGGAGAGCATGGGGGGCAGCCCTGTCCAGAATGGCAGCGATTCATCCAAAGGAAGCGGAGGATCTCAGAGTTCTCTGTCCTGTGTTGGGGACCAGATGCGCAGATACAGGACAGCCTTCACCAGGGAGCAGATAGCACGCCTAGAGAAGGAGTTCTACCGGGAGAACTACGTGTCCAGGCCCAGAAGATGTGAGCTGGCTGCAGCCTTGAACCTGCCAGAGACCACCATCAAGGTATTATTTCAGTTTGAGGGGTCCATGTGTATGGAGCAATCTAAGATCTTCACACTTAATTTGAGCTAGAGTTCTGCTTTTTTGGCGAATATATTGAAGGGCATATATACTGATTCCCTAATGAGTAGATTAGGATATGGTCCCACATTAATTATTGTTCTGACGGCTGACCCTAAATATGTTGTTTTCTGTTCACAGGTGTGGTTTCAGAACAGGAGGATGAAGGACAAGCGACAGCGATTGGCAATGACCTGGCCTCACCCAGCAGACCCTGCATTCTACACCTATATGATGAGCCACGCAGCTGCCACTGGCAATCTACCTTACCCCTTCCCATCTCACCTACCTCTTCCTTACTACTCTCACATGGGCCTTGGCACTACTCCAGCCTCAGCTGCCACCCCCTTCAGCTCACCATTGAGACCACTGGATACATTCAGAGTCCTCTCTCACCCTTATCCTAGACCAGAACTCCTCTGTGCATTCCGACACCCATCCATCTATGCTACACCTGCTCATGGACTTGGTGCTGGGGGTAACCCTTGCTCCTGCTTGGCATGCCATACCAGTTCTTCCAATGGGCTAGCACAAAGGCCTGCAGGCTCTGACTTTACCTGCTCCTCCTCTACAAGATCAGACTCCTTCCTGACTTTTACCCCTTCAGTCCTGAGCAAATCATCTGTCCCTCTTGACCAGAGAGAGGAGGTACCACTGACCAGATAAGATGGACCTACCTTCTCCTGCTGACTGAGCTACCTACCTTACCAATGTCTTTTTGGACACCATGCCAAGAGGTGGCATTCTGGGACCTTTCAGGTTGTCACAAGCTTTCCTCTCCAGATCAATGACTTTACTATAAAATTAGTTCATATCTTCAAGAAGACAAAGGACTACTTTTAAAGAACGATTATTTTATAGGCATTGCCACAATTTTGTTTATTCTATGTCAGTAACAAAAAATGGCAGAGGTGTGTAGATTTTAGGATTACCATGCTGGGATACTTGAATATTAAGTTAACGCAGAACAACAAGGTCATTAATGTGTTTTTTCCCCAAATGTACAAAATACATTTTTAAGTATCAACAAAACAGTATTAAGATGTTACATTGTTACTTTACAATGTAGCTGCCTCTTTACCCAACCACCAATATCTGGCACATTTTATGAATGGGTTCTTTTTCAGACATTCACAGTCTTTGTACTTCACACTCACATTTTTTTTTTTCATTTTAATTTTTGATCAAACACTGGGTTTGGGGTTATGTCTGAGCCATACAGAGAACTACAAGATTTGTATAAGGAATGGCAATGGTTTATCCTCAGCTGCTGAAAAGTGAGCACACTGATTAAATTATCAAATTATGTATATGTAAGAAGAACCTTTCCGGATGTATAATAATTTTCCCAGAGTGCAAGCCTTCTGCTAGTCCTTAACAAGCCGCATAGGGAAGGGATTATGTCGCCAAAGCTCTGCAGACAGGCACCCTCCTCTGCAAATTAGTGCACATGCACACTGTTAACAGTCTCCATCCATTATGCTTGGGTACGAATCTACACTAATTCACAATGTGGCTTTTCGTTAATACTTTTATTCTATTTATATTTTTATATCTATGTTGTGGTCCATACTTGATGATCAGGGATGTTCAGTTTACATGTCCTTTGTTTATTTATATTTGCTTTTGTTGCACATGTGAAGCTCAAATGGAAATGTCTACCTGCCTAACGTTTGATGTCCTTTGACGTGTTTCAGGAGTGGGTAGGGCATTCCATTGCCAAGAATGTTTCTGGGGTTTTTTTTTTTTTGTCTGTTTGTTTTGTTTGTAAAAATGATTTTCAGCACCGTCCAAAATGATAAAAAAAAATGACAACAACAACATAATAAACACTGTTAAAGTAATCTGCTGAAATTCGCAATAAAATTAACCACAAGGACAAATTGTAATTACTTCTCTTAAAGATCTCATTGGTCTTAGTAGAATAATATAAATTATTTTGTTTATTGATGTAGAATAAGGGTGATTTCCAGTTAGTTGTAATACATGGATGAATGCCTTTACCTGCATATTTTCCCATTATACCAACACATAAATATGACGTTTGCTTTTGTCTGTAGCAATCTGGCTTCACACTATACACATTATAACAACGTTTATAAAAAGGATAGATCACACATAAGCCAAGTAGAAAAAGCTTTACTTTCCTTGTCAGGTTTCCAGCAGTGAATTATCAGTTTTGGTATTGTGTATGTAAATCTCCGACTCAATAAAAAAAGTCGGATAGGTTGAAGGGCTTAGCAGATAAATATTCAGCTGTGAATATTCCATTACACTCTAACGTTCTTCCTGATAGTGTTAGACTGCAAAACATGTCAGTTTATCTAAATAGTGAACTGCCGGGTTTCAAAGCATTTTTTCCTGGTGAGAGATTTCCTATTAATCTGAAATACACGGTGCACAGGGAATTTACAAGCATGGAAATTAGCATCACGGGGAAACTGTGTCATTTTATCTTCTACACAATTACAAAAAATATTGGGCACGTTTAGCAAGACAGGAAAAACAGTGAGGTACAGTCATCCATATTAACCAATCACCTTTCACTGTTTCTACAGTGCACTGATGTGCAGTAAACCATAACAACCAATCGTATGACATCTGCTTACAGTAGGCAGAACAATAAGAGATGATTGCTGATTTGTTACTATAAGTTACTACACTTTGTATAGGATATAACAGCAATGTCAGATGATTGCTGATAGCTTGCAGTGGGATAATATACTTTATACAGGATAGCAAAACGATAGCAAATGTTCATTGATTGGTTGCTATGGGATATTTTACTTTGTATAGATGGATAGAGCAAATACAGATGATTGTTGATTGGTTGCTATGGGATACTACACTTTTATAGGATAGGCAGAGCAATAAGAGATGATGCTGATGGATGTTTGTGGGTTCTAACACTTTATGGAAAGTAAACTGAACAATCAGAAACGATTAATAAGTGGTTGTTATAGGTTATTACACTTAAAAAAGGCTAGACACGGCATTATAAATGACTGCTGATTGGTTACTGTGGGTTACTACATTATGCACACTTCTCCTTACTAAATAAGCCTGACAACCTCATAAAAAGACACAGAAAGAGAAGGAGATAGAGAGAAAAGCTTTCCTGCAGCTAAATAACACATAGCAAGTAAATAGGCTTGCTGCAGGTGGCTGGAAAGCAGGCAGCAGTTGGGTTTAACAAGGGGGTAAATTAGATGTCTAAAACAATATTAGCAGATATAAGATCAATGATAAGCCCTAGTGTCTACTCAGAAGCATTTAATTGACTGTATTTCCTGAGTAATTGTACCAGGATCAGGAAACAGAGACTGAACATGTTTCAGTAATTCTTATATGAAGCTGGTGTGTCCTGCTATTACCAATCTATCTATCACCCATTCCCTCTAGCATGTGAACGAATTAAGTAACCTTTACCACGTTGCTTCTTACTATGGCAGTCATTTGAAAAAGGTATTATTAGGAGAAAACACTTTTGTCGTATTATGTGGCTTATTTCCAGCAGAAGAAGCTGTGTTGGCCTCTGCAAGGATGAGGAGAATCTGGTTAAGTACTTGTAGAGATCCCAGAGGATGCTGTATTCATACAAGGCAAACTGAGCCCAGTCCCCAGCATCCCTTGGTTGTTAGCATGTGATTGATTGCCTTATTAAAGCGTGTTCTTGTAAGTGTGACCAAACTGATTGCAAACTACATGTTTAGAATAAAAGCTCTATGCTAACAGCCGAGAAAAAAAGGAGGGAGGATATGAATAGCTGGTTAATAATTTATCATCCCACTGGAGATCTAGTTAACTAAATTTACACGGTGTACAAGTAAGTTTCTTGGTATAATCAGTCATGCCTTTATCTGCTCTTCGACGTCTCGTCAAATTATAGAATCAATCTGCTGGTTAGTATGGAGAGAGGCCATTGCATTGGTGGCAAGTGGCCTGCATAGTGATAAAGCTTAGGTGTCCGCAGGGTGAGCCCTCTGCGCTGTGCTCACATGTGGCTCCCCATTCTCCACCACTGAGGGCCAATCCAGCCTCCCTCATCACACCTGACAGTCCTTTTGTTTTCAATTACTCTCCTGCTCGATTTGTTACATTATTTTACTCAAGTTGAGCAGTCACTGCAGTACCCGCTACCATATGTCAGCTTGCTCACCAGCTTGCCAACTACAATGGTTTAATGAACAATCCCCTGGACCTTTGTTCCACAAACATGTCCTGATCTATTCACTCTCAAGCTAAATGTGTTAATCGTTTTGTAATAAGACCCAGAACTTGAGGTCAAAAGGATGGCGCTATCATCCACCGCCACAGGACCTGCAGCACCAAGTCATCTGTGTTGGCTCATTTGTCACGACTTTCTAAAATCTCAGATTCACACTGGAATATTAATATTTTCCCACGAGCTTATGTGACACTAATGCAGAAATGCAGGCAAACAATATAAATAATTGTGTGTGTGTATATATATATATATA